CCGGGCGCCTCTCTGCTCCTCTGCCTCAGGCCTGAGCGTCTGAACATCTGAGGTTTCGCGGGTGGTAGCTCATCCCAGGCTCGGGCTCTGTTCCGGCTCCACTCCCTGCTCCCACTTGCCTCCAGCCCCAGGGACCCGGCCCTCACTGGCTCCCCTGGGGCAGGTGCGAGGGGCAGCCGCCCTCCAGCCCAGAGCACTGCATGCAGAGCCGCAGCCGCTGCCAGCCCGCGCTGTCACCCGCATCCAGCTGGGGACCATGTCACGTTGGCAGGTCTTCTTGCTGCGAGTCTGATCGGATTTGGGAGCCACCGTGGCCAGAAGCCTCTCCCGTCACCCGCCGGGTCTGGCTGCTGCTCTGCCGGCCTCGGCCAGTGGACTCGATGTGGGGACGTCCGGGGCGGTGGCTCTCCTGGAGACGGCGGGGGCCGGAGGGGAGAGGAGAGGGAAGGGAAGGGACGTGTGCGTTAAAAATGCAAAACACGGATTTTTTCAAAATCTGAACGAGGGTGAGGTCACCTGCTGTGATTTGGGGCTGCCCTCCCTACAGGCCGCGGTTTCCTTACATGAACTATTGTCTACGTTTTTTTCAAGACAAGTCCAGCTCCTTAATCGTGTGATGGTAATAGCTGACGTAAGTTCAGTTACATGCTGTTAGACCTACATAAAGTGAATATGGCATCGTTAACTTGAGTATTTTATTACTGGGGAAATTGTACGGTTTTAATTTTTAGCTGAACAGCGCCACCTAGCGGATCTGTGTTCATCAGCTTTTAATATTTAGCTGCCTTTGCTGCTCATCACTTCCCTAAAACACAGACTCTGTGCAAGATTTCCGTGGCAAGACTTTTCTTAGTTACATAGCTGCCCAGACAAAAACACAGAGGTTACACACCTCCCTGCGGGATCCCGGCAGGGTGTGCGCATCGCTCTGTGCACGGTGCTCGCTCTGAAATCCCTCGGTGAGCATTGCCTTCTGAGCTAGAGAGAACTCTACTCGTGATGATTTCCCCGCCGTCCTCTCTACGCCAAGCGATGCTGCTGATTGCATCGTTGCTTGCTGCTGTGTTTAATGTACTGGGCCATAGGCCCAGTACCGACTGCACAAATGTTAGGTTGCCTGGGAGAATGGCAGGAAGACTTAGGTAACTGATACTATCCTATCTAATAATAGACAAACATGGTAATTGACCGTACCTTCATTATGCCTCCCATTGGCTAATCAGCGAGATATGCAAATTAACCCAACCAAGATGGCGGCCGGCAGCCATGCAGCTGAAGCGAGCAGGAGGTTTGCTTGCTCCAGTGAAGGAGGAAGCCAAGGTTCCACGCCTGCTGCTGCTGGCCTCTGAGCTTGCACTCTAAGCAACTATGTTTCAATTATAGAAGCTAAACAAAACCCATGCTTTCAGCCAGCCGGCCAAGCTGGAGTTGCAACAGTGTTTCAATTATAGGAACCAAAACAAACCCAGATACCGGCTTTCTGCAGCCTGAGGTCTCACAGCTAGAGCCGAGCCTAAG